CTGGGGAAGGCAGTTGCCAGAGCAGTGGGGAAGGCAGTGCAGGCAACAAATGCTTCTTCAGTGGTGGCTCCAGAAACACAGCATCATATGGTTGGAGGATTAAGTGGTCAGCAGCCCTCTCCCCCTACCACTGCCTTGTCATGTCTGCCTGTTAGTCCCTGGAGAGGGGCACAGACACCAAAACACAAGGTTCGCATTTCAGGGGTGGATTCAGCACCGGGATGACCTCTGATTTCTGAACCCAGTAAGTTGGTCTGACCTGAGGAATAAACAAGCTGCAGCCACTTGTGTCCCCTGCAGCTCAGGGAGTGGATGTGCTTTCAGGAACAGTGCTTTACAGCTCGTGGTTTGCCCCAGAGAGGAGAAATCACTGCTGTGCTGATAAGGTGTAAGTTGTGACGCAAGCCTGTTTGTTGCAGGACTTCACCATGACACTTTATCTGAGGCACTACTGGAAAGATGAGAGGCTGTCCTTCCCCAGCACCAACAACCAAAGCATGACCTTTGATGGAAGGCTGGTGAAGAAGATCTGGGTCCCTGACATGTTCTTTGTCCACTCCAAGCGTTCCTTCATTCATGACACCACCACAGACAACGTCATGCTGCGGGTCCAGCCAGATGGGAAGGTACTTTATAGCCTCAGGTAAAGCTGCATTCGGTCAGTGCGAGCTATTAGTGGAGTGAGAGAGAAAGTGGTTTAATTGATTCCTGTATTGTGCTTTTGCATGACTACATACTAAAAAAAAAAACCCATAAAAAAGAATGAATGTGTTGTCAATCCACTGACATGTGAGTCCCTGTGCAAGTTCATTAAGTGTCTGTCGCAGGAAGCCAATTTCTTTGCCAATGTTGCTGGTTCCACCAGTGTCCTTTTGTCTTGTATGCATGGTTAGCTCCTGCTCCTGCTGTCAGGAAGCTGCAGCCAGACACGACAGTCCCTCAGGACATCTCACGGGGGCCAGTGGGATGAGATCCCTGTGGGCCGCTGCTGAAGAGGCAAAGCACAATCTAAGGAAGAGGGCAATGAATGGTTATAAAGAGAAGTCCAGAGCAGCTATAGTTACCCGTTCACTATGCAGCAAAGTCTCTGGGCCTAGAAAAATGTGCAGTTTCTGTTCCTATAGGTAATTATGAAGAAGTATAAATTATCATGAGTGCAATTTTTGCTTTATGTTAACCAATAAAACAGATGGAACTTCCTTCAGCACATGAAGTGATGAGCTTCAGAGGAAGGGTATATAACTCCTGGTGACTCATGTGTATGGCTAAAGCAACCCAAACACTTGACTTCAACTCTTTCTGCTTTTTGCTCACATTTCATGTGAAATGCATGAAAGCTTCTTCAAGGGGATATTTTGGGTAAACTCTGTTTTTTCCTCTAGTTTGAGATATTATCCCAACCCTAGCTTTCTCCCTTATTTTCCAACCACTCAAGCAGCTTTGAGAGTAACATTGCTGACCTGAGTCTGAACATTATTAAACTAGGGGTTTTTTCTTTCTAATATGCAACACTTTCATACTTGGACATGCTAAGTGAGGAGCATCTGTCAATCTCCAAAAGAAACTAATGTCAGTGCTTCTGTATCGGTGCTTCTGTTTTCCTTGGCTTTCCACCCAGTTAGAAAACAAGTTTGGCCAAATGACCCATAAAAACCTATTAGAGAGGAAATTGCTGTACAATATTCTGATGCAAGAATGTTGGCATCACCTCCACAGCAATGAAATAGCAAAATACATGATAAATAAACAAAGCATCAGGTCATAGATAGTGTATTCTGAAGGACAAAAAAGAAGGAAAATCTGACTGATAGGAGGTCAGCAGCAGCAAGATGCATAGATTTAATTATAAGGTTGCAGAACACGTTGCTTGGGAAGGCAGTGGAGGGGTCTTTAAGGGCATGTTAGACAGTGACCTTAGGAATGGCAGAGGTAGAGCTGAGCCTGCTACAAGGTGAAGACATAACTTCTCAGCCTGCCAAGGTGTTTTATGATTTTATGAAAGGAAGGCAAGCAAAGCAATTCTTGATTCTCTGTGGGGTATCAGTTTGACAAGAATTATCTTGTTGTCTGGTATTTTTATCTTACTGTTCATTGGAATTCACAGCCTGAACAGTGCTACCTTCTTGTTATTAAAGCCTTTTCTTTAGTCAGCATATTATACAAGGTTCAGGTGATCCTTAGGCCTTTGCAAAGTTTGCTCAGGTCCTTAGCACAATAATAAAAAAAAGACAATAAAATGACATAAAGTTCAGCTACAGCATGAATGCCTGCATACTCTTTCATTTAGCTGCATGATACCAGTCATCTGCATTGCATACATTTATGGTTGTCTAAAGAAGATAGGAACAGAAGAATATCAAGCTACTCGGATCCTGTCATGCACAGGCTTGTGCTTAAACAATTGTCTATCACAAAATGGTGGTGAACATCTTGAATGGAAAATTGAGAGTTTCATTATTTTGCTCAGTCACAATTGCAGGTTGGAGTGCTTTATGAATGCTGGAGAGGTAGGAATGCTGGAGAAGTAGGAATGCTGGAGAAGTAGGAATGCTGGAGAGATATGAATTCTGATCTCCTCTTAAGAGTAAACGGGTCATTACTGCCTGCCTGCCTTTGCTGAATGACTTTGCCTGTAGATTTTATTTTTCCTTGGTGTCTGCCTTCTTAAGGTTCTTTGCCAGACTTTGTCTTCTCTTGTCTTGGAAACCACTGTAGACCTCACTGGCACCTAAACAACAAATCTGAGCCAAGCACTCAAGCACTCACTCAAAGACTAAATCCAGACAGGAAAGCAACATCAGTGAGAACCTGCACATGCAAAAGGACTACTAACATAAAGGCCTGCGTTGTATTTTTATGATAATGTGACAGATGTCTGTCTACCACGAGCTCTGCTATAATTCATTCATTCTTTTCCCATTATGATTTATACTTCTATTTTCTTTTACTTCCTTAGAGTTCGAGCCAGTTGGGTCAAGATCATAGGGATGCTCCCAGTGCAAACACAAAATTATGCTATTAAAAATGAGATAATCAGACTATAGCAAGACCAGAGCTTCTGATGATGGGGCAGAGCCTTTCGGTGGTCTCTGCTGCTTACCTGCTCCAGCCCTAACTCGAGGCACTGCCTGTGCCCTCTGGTGGTTGGTACCCAGGTGTGATCCCCGGATTGTCACCGAGCAGCTGGAAATTCAGGGTGTGTGGAGAAATTACCTGCATCCCTCATGGCACTAGGATGGTCTTGATAAATGTAAATTGTTTTATTGTACAAAGCACCTGTTGAAAGTACAGATCTCTGCAGAAAGAAGTTTGCTGATAGTCAAAGAGGAAAAAGTGGCCTTGATGCTCTCTTCCATTTTCTTCTCCATTATTTTTGTCATCTAATTGCAATTTTTTATGGCCTAACTTTCCAGCCACCTTTTCTAACACTACTTTGCTGAGAAGAAATGACTTTAACTTAAGTGGAATGGCTTTAGCTGAATGAAAGGTATTTCTTTTCAGTGCACTGTAACTGTAGTTACTTAATAAAAATATGAAACTTGCAGCTTTACTATTTTTCAGTCACATAAGAAGACAAGTTTTTAATGGAGTGGTCTTATTATTCCTAGAGTTACAGTAACGGCAATGTGCAACATGGATTTTAGTCGCTTTCCCCTGGACACACAGACATGTTCCCTGGAGATTGAAAGCTGTAAGTAAAGCTGAGGCAGAGCAGAGCCGAGGGCTGCATCCCATGGGCACTCAAACTTTTTAAAGTACATCAATATTTCTACCAATAATGATTATCAGTAATGAAACTGCTGCTACATTCATGGAAGATCTAACCAAAGTCAGCAGACTCCAACACTAAGAAAAACTCCCTGCCTGTATTTTTTTACTAGAAGTAGATAACGTTTGCAACGACGCAGTGTTGCTGTGAGCAACACACCAGCTGTGAGCACTGTCTTACCATTGTCCCCAAAAGCCAGCCAGGCTGCCCCGCTGCCACCTTGTCCCCAGAGGACTTTGAGACTCTTACCTGCAGGTTGGCAGTCCCCAGCAGCACCTGCTTGCCAGGTGCCCTCAAGCACATAAATAAATGGCCCTAAGCCCTTCACATGCACCATCTGCTCATCTGTACTGTAGGAACCATGACAGGGCAGCAACATTAATCACTGTCCTATGTTTCTTATACCCGTGTGAGATAAGTATGATGCACACATGAACTGTCTGGATTTCATACAGAGACATTTTAAACTTTTAGCTTTTTAGGAGGTTCTTCTCCTTCTTAAGCTTGCAATAAGGAATTATAATCTTAATTCATACAGAGACATTTTAAACTTTTAGCTTTTTTTTTTCTTCTGCTTCTTAAGCTTGCAATAAGGAATTATAATCTTAATTCTGTTTTAATATATTTATGTGTGATTTTTTTTCTCCGTTTCTGGGAAAAGTTGTTACTAAACCCCTTCTGAAAGGATTAACATTACTATATTTCCACATTTATTAAAAAAACAAGACCTGTAGTATTCATGTGTGCATCACAGACAGAAAGTTTGTCCTCCCACTTCTTTCTGCTAAGTCTCCTTGCCTTTGTTTCTGATTTTAGGACAATTATAAGGGACAGTTTTTCAAGTTCTGATGCAGTCGGTTACCTGAACCACATATTATGTGTGCAAAATTATGATTAGAGAAACAGAAGGGTTTAGAAAACACATCAGGCCTGAGGGCTGTGACAGTAAGCTAGTCCTCTCCTTGCCACAATCATACCCACCATCGCTGCGGCTTGCAGCCAGGTGATGGCATTTGGCCTTTTTAGCAGGGACCTCACAGGCAGCCTGGAAGGTGTGTGGGCACACCCTGGGCTGTGGGTGTGATAGTAGCTGACTCAGTGCACTGCACCAAGGTTTGCTCTGCTCCCCTAGATGCCTACACTGAAGATGACCTCATGCTCTACTGGAAGAATGGGAACGATTCCCTAAAGACAGATGAGAGGATATCACTCTCCCAGTTCCTGATCCAGGAGTTTCACACCACCACAAAGCTCGCCTTTTACAGCAGCACAGGTGGGTCCTGGAGTCCATGCCAGAAAGTGGGCTGGGGGAAGAAGGGCTGCAAACTGTCTCTCTGAACTTGGGCCATGGAGGATTGTTTGTTGGGAGGTCTCCCTGTGGCCCATCAGACCTGCCTCTCTTCCATGCTGAGGCTGCCGTCCCTGACACAGACTTCCATCTTGATGGTTATGTAGTCTTGAAAGGCAATCCCTCTTCAAGATCACACTGAGCCCTAACATGAATTAAACTCTCTGGGTGCACAGATTATATTATCTTCTCTGGAAGATGTGGTCCTGAGACACACTTTGATAGCTGGTTCAGTAAGAAGTCTTTTCTATAAACTGCAATAATCTGTGGTCATTAACTGTTTTTCTAAAAGCAAGTGAGGTGCTATTCCCCTGGTGCAACATCACCTTATCTGAAAGTAGTTTGATGTTGGTGTGACTTCTCTTTTTTCTTTTTGCTGTTATCCAGGCTGGTACAATCGCCTCTACATAAACTTCACTTTACGCCGCCACATCTTCTTCTTCTTGCTCCAAACCTACTTCCCCGCCACCCTCATGGTCATTTTGTCCTGGGTGTCTTTCTGGATCGATCGTCGAGCAGTTCCTGCCAGAGTCCCTTTAGGTAAAAAAAATCTTGTAGCCAGCAGACCTAAGAGACAATTGCTGCAACTGTGGCCTTGACCATCCAGACAAAATCCCCTGTGCTACACACCGCCCCTGCACTGCCTTGTGGCACGGAAATCAACTATGCCACACGTGTGTCCCCCATGCAGGGGACTGGCCATGGTACAAACTCTCCATCTGCTCTGCAGTGCCAAGTGAATTGCCTTCCCTGCTTGCAGAAGCGCTAGCTGCACGCAGTGCAAATCAGAGAGCAAACTTCCCTCTCTGCTTTTATGGATATTAAGAGAGACCAGGCACAGAAAGAGCCAAAGTGTCAGTATCCTTCAGAGACCTCAGTGAGCAAAAAGGTGAAAATCAATATTAGCAGCCCTGACAAAATCTGTTTATTGAGTTTTGCTGGAGGAGAGAGGGTGGAGTTAACACAGTCAGCCAAGCTGTGCTGCTCAACTTGTTAAAAGAGTTTACAGAGCAGTGTGAGGAATTCAGATTCCCCTTCTGCAGTATCCTTCAGACAGATGAAGACATATGCCAGAGGAGTCACTATGGGAGCAGAACTATGCTATGGACATAATTCTTCTTCTAAAGTGGATGCTTTGCCCTTAGCAAAGCGCTGTTTATATTTTTGCAGGCTTTGAGCCCAAGCTTGCTTCCACTTATTGCAGTCAACATACCTCAGGACTTTATTTATTGTTAAAATTATATTCCTCAGTGGAGAGGAATATAATAGGCATAACAGAGATGGCAATGGGGCAGTTATCTACGTCTGTGTTTAGAAAGAACATTAAAAGCAGTATAAGGGTTTGGGCCATGGCTTTTCAAGATGTAGGCATTGCCTTTAGCAGTACTTTTTAGCACTTAGATACTCCTGTGGATTCAGTCCTTTGTACTTATATACATCATTTCAACTTTCAAAGGGATCCTTAATGTGATGTAATTAGCCCCTGGAATAAGAGGGTCACAGAGAGCCTCCCTCAGAGCTAAGATAACTCCAAACTGTGGGGGCTCCTGCCCTCGCTGACATGCTCATTGTGCTTGCCCATAGTGTAAGGTGGGGCAGCATTGCCCTGTGAGGCCCCATTGCCCTGTGGGGCCCCATTAGTCTCTGCTCTTGCCCTGGGGAAGGCATAGGAGCTGGCTGGTGACTTCCCAGAAAGCAGGACCTCTCAGGGGCAGACAGAAAACACAGGCCTGGGGAACCTGGTGGAAGTAGCAGCAGCAACAGATGGGCCTCACTTGTGCTTGAGCTGTGGAGGGGGTGAACTAGAAGCTGAGCTATGTGTACATTCCCTCCAGGGACTAACCTGAGCCCAGAGATGGGGTGCAGCCAGCAAGGGGTCAAAGTGCTGCTGCCTGGCTGTGGGGTGGGAGACTGGTGGTGCGGCAAGGAACCAGGCTAGCAACACCTTGAGACCAGAACTAGAGCTGTTTTCAAGGAAAAGACAAGAAATCAGGGCTGCCTGGACCCTCCTCAGGCAGTGAAACCCATGGTCCAAATATGAAAAACCATACTGCAAGGTAAATTCAGGTGTCAGAAAAGGGTAACAGTTATATTTGTGATGAAGAGTCTGGTTTGAAAGTGCCTTACAGTCTCTCTGCTCTTGTATTCCCAGGGATAACCACTGTGCTGACCATGTCCACGATCATCACTGGGGTGAACGCCTCCATGCCCCGTGTTTCCTACATCAAAGCAGTGGACATTTACCTGTGGGTCAGTTTTGTGTTTGTCTTCCTCTCGGTACTGGAATACGCAGCAGTGAATTACCTGACTACGGTGCAAGAGCGGAAGGAGAGGAAACTTCGGGACAAGGTGAGGTTTTTCTTGTCTCTGGAGCAGCTTTATTCCTCCAGGAAAAGGTATGGGAAATGTCTGGAAATGTTCCAAAGTTCACAACTACAGTGTGCTGCTCTCAGCTGCCTGGGGAGAATGCAGTGCATGCAAAAAGACACCAGCAGTGAGGTATTCCGGGCTATAAATATTTGCTACAGATAACACATGCCTAAGCTTTGTACTCTTTCTTCAGTCTGAGGGCACTCAGTCCCTCTACGTATAGCCTTCTACTGCCTGTATAAATGGGATAGAGTTTAGGATTTTGCCCTTAAATATTTTTTTATGCAGAAGATCCAAGCCTATGAATAGCACCAGATGGATACTGTGGTTTAGGTTTCAGATAACATGTCAGATTTCCCACACCTTTCTCCAGGCACAGTCTAAACTTACACAGTGGTCCAAGCTTCCCCCTTCTGCATTCGATACATCAAATTATAAGTTCTTCTTTTCAAATGGGGCAAGACTCATCCATTCCTCTTTGCAGACTCCCTCTGCCCTCTTCTCTGATTTTCTCAGCTTCAAGGTTCAGGTCCAACCTTTATTTACATCCTGATAGCCATGCTCAAGACAAATGAGTTTTTCCACAGAGAGCCCCACTCTCTCCCTGCCTGCACTGTGTCTTGCAGACACAAAAATGGAGAAGCAAAAGGCTGCTGCCCAGCTCCATCCTAGAATCACAGGATAGTTAGGGCTGGAAGGGACCTTAAAAATCATCTAGTTCCAACCCCCTGCCATCAGCAGGGACACGTTCCACTAGACCAGGTTGCTCAAAGCCTTATCCAACCTGGCCTTAAACACTTCCAGGGAGGGGACATCCACAACTTCCTTGGGCAACCTGTTCCAGTGTCTCACCACCCTCACAGTGAAGAACTTCTTCCTAATATCTAATCTAAACCTACCCTCTTCCAGTTTAAAGCCTTTTCCCCCTGTTCTGTCATTAACTGCCCTTATAAAAAGTCCCTCCCCAGCTTTCTTGTAGCCCCTTCAGGTACTGGAAGCCGCTATAAGATCTCCCCAGAGCCTTCTCTTTTCCAGGCTGAACAGCCCCAACTGTCTCAGCCTGTCCTCACAGGAGAGGTGCTCCAATCCTCTTGTTTTCCTTTTTGTGCCCCAGCAGCCTGAATTCCCCAGGCTTGTCTCCTCCTCTGCTTTTGTAATGAGAAAAGAGATGTCTGTGTATATCTGGACACAACTCAAAACCACCCTGTGCTTACCTGTGCCCACAGCTTCCCTGCGCCTGCAGCCTGCCTCAGCCTCGGCCCATGATGATGGACGGCAGTTACAACGATGGGGATGTGAACGAGCTGGGGCACTACGTGTCTGAGAACGGAGACAAACAAGACCGAATGATGGTGCAGCTGGCGCTGGGCTCTGAGAGGGGCTCAGGCAGGAGGAAAAACCAGAGATACGTCAGCATGCGGATCGACACTCATGCCATCGACAAGTACTCCAGGATAATATTCCCTGGTGCATACATTCTATTTAATTTGATATACTGGTCGATTTTTTCATAAATATACGTAACTTCTGTAGTCACAGAGCATTGTGACAATAAATGAAAGTATTGTCTCATAGGCTAACAGAAAGGAAATGGAGAATTTTTTTAATTGAAAGGAAGATTGATTTGTTTCGGGATTTTTTTTTCAATTAGATGCAACTCATTTGTGGCATAAATAATTGTGCAAGTTTCACATTTCAGCAAAAGATAGAATACACAGTCTAAAATTTTATACTTATTTAAAGCTGTGCTATGTTCCTTCTTGTGCCTCACAGGCCACTGTAAACTATTTTAACAAGTGACTGTAATTGCCAGTTGCATCTATATGGTGCATCCTCCATTTTGTGCCCCTAAGATCCTAATTCTGTAAGTATTGGAGTGCACACATACATCTCCCAACTCAGCAGATTTACCACGTTCAATACTAATAAATACAAAGAATATGCAAATACTTGTGTGTTTGCAGGATGAGGCCAGAAATGGTCATTACAAGCACAAAATAGCCAGTATTTGGAAACACTGGCGAGGTTATTGTTGGCTAAAGCTTGCCAACACTGCTAAATGCATGCTGCCCTAGCAGTGCTGCACTGACAGGTCCACGTAGGAATGCTTTCAGATTTGTGCTACATCTTCATCATATTTAAAACAAAGAAATCTTTCCAAGCTGTTTTGACTATCTTTTTAAAATGTGACTTGCAATGTACACTTACTAAGGAATGAACAAAAGCTGGACTTTCTGCAATGCTAACCAAACCCTCTGGGAAACGCAGGAGCTCTCCTTGGATCTGCTTATTTGGGTCAGTGGGAATTTCCTGGGAGAGAACACAGGTTTCTGCACAAAATGATCCAGTGAAGACTATCAGGTGTCTACAAAAAGACTAAAACTACTACAGGAGAAGCCACTTCTCTCTGAGATAGTCTGGGTGTTACTGGTCTGTGCAGCCTGAGAAGCTGCTGCAGCCTGTAACTTGTTAAACCCTGATTAAAGCCACTGATAATTACACTCCTAGGAAAAACCTAGTCCATCCATTTCAGTAAAAGCCTAATAGAAAGGTGCTCAAGGGGTGACAAAGCAGTTGTAAGGACTTTATATCTGAGTTACTGAAGCTACCATGCCAAAAACTTTGGAATTAGGTAAAAAGGAGCTTCTACCATGAGACAGCAGCTCCATTGCAGTCCCAGGTACATGTAACTGACTCTGTGTTCTTGCCACATCTGTCCCCCTGGCACCCTGCAGCACACTGTGCCCTTAGAGCAGGCTCAGCACCTTCCAGGGCAGGAGCAAGGGGACACAGCTGGAGCTGCGGGCACTTGGCATCAACTTAAGTCCCAACTCTCCATCACAGCTTATGTAGAGAACCAGCCAGCACAAACACTCCATATGGAAAAGGCAAAGTCTGTAATGCAGAAGTCATAAAATACTCCAGGAAACAAGAATGGAATCAGGGGCCTTTACAATAACACCTCCACCGAAGGTGTCTCAGAAAGTGAGGTCATTGAGTTGGTTTGCTGCTCTGTGTTATCCACCTACATCCACAAAGCTAACTGAGGGTTTGGACTAGAAGGACTTTAAACACATGCATGATTTTGCATACAATTATGAAATTCTTTATTCCCTGCACAGCAGAGGCCATTGTCTTTTACAGGTGCAGCTGCTCTGAGAATCACACCAAAGCAGTTGTGTCTCCAAAAGGAAAGTGAATCTTCCTATATTAAATCTGCCCTGGACTGACTGATCTGCCACTTGTGACACAGACACCACAGTTGTTTCAACAATGCTGGTTGTTGCTTTAATTTCCTATGTAAATAAATGTCACATAAACATACTCAGCATTTCTCACAACTGCTAAAATTGTGACTGGCAAAACTACTTACACTCATCTTGCACTTACAGCCTACACTCCATAGGTAAGGCAATGAAACCATGACAGCTAGAATCATTAAAAGACACAATCACGGGTAAGAGTGGTTTACTACTGATTTCTACATAGCTTTTTTTTTTGTTTTCCACATACACATACTACCTTAGCTTTGTATTACCAATTTTCCTTCATATAATGTTATTCTCCAGCGAGGTTTTTTTTAAGAGATTAAAAATACATATTTTCTTAAACCATGAACATTTCAGTCAGTTGAAGGTAGAAAAGTCACTACTCTGGAAAAAGCAGATGAAAGGCTGGCCACCAGGTTTGGCCACCCTCCCTTAATCCAATGGCACCTTCCCCCATGAATAGCTTCAAGACTTCTTGGGCACAGGCTTGCACAGGAATGCATTTAGATTCCGAGTATTGTGAGAAGCCATTTCTTTCTACAATTTAAGAACAGCACAAACAGGAGTGCCCGATTTTATAGTAAGCTCTCCAGCTTCATAAGAAGCTTAATGCTACGTAGTTTGCTGCAGTACTGTACATTCCTTTATAGACTCATTAATCTCATACTACATAATTTGGAATCTGACCAGTATATTAAGGGAGATTTTGAAGATAAAAATGGGAGATGAACTTTTGAATTCCCTGGCTTTCAGTGGGAGACTGGTTTCTAATTTCCCATGGGATTTTCAAAGTTTCCTTTTCAGTACACGTCCCTAAGCAGATTTCCCAACCTCCATATTTGGATTTACACTGTTAATTTACTTGTGTTTTATCTGGGAAACTCTAGTGCCTTTTGGTCGTATATAAATGTGTATATAGATGTATTCTATAAATACAGGATATGTCATATACAGCCAGTGTTTGTTATCAACAACTGTACTTATTAAACATATTTACATACAAAGTTTTTTGGCTTTTAACCTTCAAGTGTATGGTTTTTGTACCCCACTATTAACACTCTGCTCCTTACCATTTCCATCATAAATCAGTGATTTATTTGTTACGGTTTATTTCTAGAAATGCTCAAAGTCACAATAAAACTTCATATTTGTACAGCATTGTGCATTTTCTACCTCCAGAAGAATGATCTCTGTGAGTTTATATGTGGATTGATCCAGTCAAATACCAAAAGTTGTTAAATCCGTGATGCTGGTGGGGCTGGAGAGCCCTGGGATTTCACAGGCAGGGCTCTAACAAGAAGCCTGCACGCAAACTCCAAATCACTGAGAAGATGACATTAAGCTTTCCACCCGAGGCCATGTATGTTACAGTCCTCGTTCTTCTTCCTTAGGGTGATACTTTGCAATGTAATTCAGATCAGTTTCTTGGAGGTTAACTCAAAGCCCAGCCTAGGATGCTGCTGGTTTTGGAAGCCGAAGTGTATTGGTAGGTCTGCATGGTTTATGGATAGACACAAGCTCCGTCTGTGAGCATGTCAGGGTTTAAAATCTTTGGAGACCGAAGCCTTTAATAAGTCTTTAAGGCAGCTGACAATTACTGATAGGGTAAAACATCGAGAAGGATAACTTCAGTCAGAAATGGAATAGGGAGAAGGCATGAAGAAAGATCAATGATCCCTCTTCTTTCCCAGTAAAAAGTTACTCTCATAATAATCAAGTCATTAGATTCCTCTTTTTCTACCTGTTGCCCAAGCAAGCGATTCTCTCAGTACAAAACAGCTCCAAACTCCTTGCAAGCCCTGATGAGCAATTAGAAACCACTGGGACTCCCCTCTCCCACACTTGCTCATACAGCAACATGGTATTTGATGGAGCACTGAAGAAGCAGCAATGAGAAATGAAAACCAACTGTGAGACCACCTCTACTGTATGTTCCACAATAGGACATAACTAGCTCAGTAGCACATCAACACAAGGGCTGTTCAGATACCAGAACAAACCCATGAAAGCAGAACAAAGTGGAGGGTGTGAAGTGTGTTCCAGTCTCCAAGAATCAAAACCATATATAAACAGGAAAACTAAGAAAAATTACAACTTCTGATGAATTTTAAGCGCTTATCAAACAGTTGTTATGAAACAAGACTCCAGCACTGTAATTCTGATGTACATTTGTGTGATTTTATCCTTTGATAGGGTCTTGGGAAGCTAAGAAGAGATGAGCCATTACTACATTTGCCAATTACCTTTGAGACCGAAGAGCTGAAATGATAACTTTGTCTAGGTACTCCAGGGCAATCCTAAATGATAGCACAGCATAAATGGCTGTGTAGACCCACAACCACGTGGACTTCATTCTTTCCTAGGAGTGAGGCATTTGGCTTCTCCTTATGTTTTTTAAATAAGGACATTCAAATGCAGTTGTGGCCGAGAAAAATCCTTGATGAGTTTGACAGATACTTTTGGCTTCCATTAGTATCTAAATTAACATAAAACAGCAGCCATCTTACCCAGCTTTGGGCTGAGTAGAGAGTCTGGGCAAGAACTCTTAAGAGGGATGCAGTTTTGCTCCCTAATAAAAACAACAAAATGTGGGTACCAGCAGCACTCAACCAGACAGGCTGGTGGACAAAGGCTCTGTGGAGGGCGGCTACTTTCAGGATGAGGAAATAGTCAAGCTTAAGGAAAAACAGAATATCATGTAGACTGACTTTTTCTTATTTATTTCAAAATTATTTAATCCTAAACACTTTGCTCTAAATAACAATCTGTTTTGAAGAATGCTGTTAACAAGTTATGAGAACACCACCCTTAATGAATACTAGACAAAGACTTATTTTGAAATAACAGCTGATGTGTTACAAACTCTTCACTGGAACAGTCTTGCTCTCTGTGTCTGCAGTGTAATCAGGTGCAGAGCACTCAATGGGAACAAAATGATTACAGAAATGAACATAAATCTGCTTCCCATTTCCTGTTTGAAGAAAGGCTGCTGGACCCTTCTATACCAGGTAGCTTAGCTCAGCAGGTTACCAGTTCTCACCTTCAAACCTTTTAGTAAAAAGAAATCCATTGTATTTCATTGTTTTTGTTTTAAACCAGGCATATATTTGAACTCAAGATATAGGACAGATATTAAATAAGGAACCTATCCAGAGGGACCTTGACAGGCTGGAGAGGT